AGACTGTGCTTGTCGGAAGGAGGGACTTTGTAGAAAACGAAGCGTTTGAGAGAGGTGGGGCATAGAGGACCTACAATAATGTACAGTATTTGAAAAATAATGTGTTTTTTGAACATTAAAGCATGTCAACATATTCTGTTACACCAAATACACAAAATAATGATCTTTAAAAAAGCATCATATGACCCCTTTAAAGTGATTATTACGTTTTGAATATGGATATTTGTCTTACAAAAACGCATTGATTCGCTACAGGAGGCCTTTGTTCACCCCCCGGGGCCGTGTGAGACACTTTTTTTTTATGGATGGGTGCTTTTTATTTCACTTCTTTTGGACTGCAACACCCGCTGACTGCAATGATAGAGCTTGGAATAGCCAGGACAATTTTTAATATAACTCCGACTGGATTCGTCTGAAAGAAGAAAGTCATATACACCTAGGATGGCTCTGGGGTGAGTAAAACACAGCCTAATTTTTGGGTGAACTAACCCTTTAAAGTGCATTAAGTACAAAATTTGTTGTTCCAATTCATCAGACTAAGTATACCAGTTTAGTATACCAAAAGTACAATTGCAGGGTATTTTTATTAAGTACATTCACATAAATATGTGAATGTATTTGTAGTATACTTAGCATGAATCAGATGTATTTCAAATACATTTCAGTATATTTCTTTTTCACTAGGGGTATTATATACTTCAGCTTTTCATCAGCCATTCTACTTTCTAGAAACAGCCATTAAAAAACCCATTTCACTCAACCACTATTCTATATGAATCTCCCGGCACTGCTCACGCTCAGATTCTGCAGTAGAAGTTGAGTCTGCTACAGGCAGGCCAGTTCAGAGCAGTCTCTCCGCGTAAGGCTCAGCGATGGCTTCTTCTCAGCTCAGTCTCCTGCCATCCAACCAGCCGTCATTCAAACTCTAAACATTCACTACATGGGTCACATGGCTCATGTGAGTCGCTGCAACATTTACAGGCCTGTCCTGCAGCCGCAGAGCAGAGATCTGACTGCTGCCACGAGCAGGACCACTCGCTTCATCCAACATGAAATGTCGAGTTGAAACAGCTCATGTCTGGAGTTCAGTGCTAATGTGACTTTAGATGGGCCGCTGCTCCATAATGACCCACCAGGCTCTTTCACTTGTACTTGCTACAGCTGTTTAGCCAACTAAAGAGCGGCGCTTCTACATCAATGCTTATACATAAATAAAGAAGGCTGTATGGCACAGCAATTTTACCACAGAAATGGAGTACAATGCAATGCAGGACTAACTAATTGCATACTACTAACCATCTAAACACATGATCAAAGCTTAAGTTATGCTCTACTTAATATATTACCAATGTCTTTCATTAATAAGTTGGTCTGACTGACCTTTAATATGGCCTCTTTGGAGCTCAGCTGCTGCTCGAGCTGGCTGATCTGATTGGTGGAGGTCTCGCTGAGCTGGGCCAGACTGGCTTGAAGTCTCTGAACGTCCTCGGCCAAACGCTCTACCTCCCTTTCCTTTGCACCCAGCTCTGCCTCCAGACTGCTGCAAGATAGCGCCTCCAGAGACTTGTCCTGCACACACAAATATACACATTTTACAATGCTGTACAGACAATGTAAATGGTAACACTTCCTGTTAGCCAAGGCAAATGTCTGTGTTCTTGAGCAGTGTGATGCGAAGTAGTATGATGTATCAAATTTGTTTTTAAATGAACCTGCACTGTTAAGAGTGTATATACTGTGCAAAGTACAATAAAAATATTTTAAATGCATTATATTCATAAACCCTTATAATGAACTTCACAAATAATTATAAATATAGTTTGGTCATACTTTATTTTAGGGTCCAATTCTCGATATTAACAAACCATTAACTACAAATTTTGCCTCAATAAACTCCTAATTTGCTGTTTATTAATAGTTAGTAAGGTAGTTGTTAAGTTTAGGTATTGGGTAGGATTAGGGATGTAGAATATGGCCTAGAATAAATGTGCTTTATAAGTACTAATAAACAGCCAATATGTTAATAATAGGCATGCTAACAAACAACTAGTTAATAGTGAGAATTGGTCCCTATACTAAAGTGTTACCTATAGTTTCTATACAGTATTACATTATTTGTTTAATTGTTCATATATTTAATGCTGTTAACATTTATTAATGACAGATTTTTTTCATAATGTACTGATCCATTATTCATTACTTATTCATTATAAATAAATTAATATTAAAATACAATTACTTATATATTTAAAAAGACAAAAAATATATAAATTAATAAATATTTCACTATAATATAATAAATTATACTGCAAATATAAACTGCCTACACTACTTGCAACGGCACTGCGAATGCGTAATGCATTAAGAATATTAAGCATTGTATTAAAAAAATTTGTACAATTATTTACAAATCAGACATTCATGCTTCTAATGTATGCATTAAAAAGTTTTTTTTAAATAATTTACAAATCTGATATCAATCCTGATTAAGTATTTTTTGACAGCCCTAATTGATTAATCTCAATATTATAACAGCGTTAATATGTGAATGCATCCCTCCTATATCCTCCCTATTTCATTACAATACAGGCATGTAGAGTTTAGTTCTTACTACTTCCGGTGCTTTCTGGATCTGATTGGATGGTTGCAGGGTTTTGCCAGCTGAATTGAGCTGCTCCCTCAGGCTCACGGCCTCACTCTCTGCCGCCTCGGCCCTCTGTGGGCCACAAACAGAACAAATGGGTTAAAAATTGCCCAAGTCGAAGATACATAACCTTAATATCAACCAACGCTGAGAAGACTGGGAGCTAAGAGATCACAGGCCTATTTTTTATGGCTGGGCTGAAAAATGTTAACTGAACTCACATGGGTCCTACTTGGCTGAGTGCTCTAGTATTCAAGCTAAAGTGTGTCAAGGTATGTACGGTTGGTTGATTCACAGAATATGCAAATCATGCAGAGTTCATTTTAAATAAAGATTGTGGTGTTAATTCATTTGTTGCCCTATAATGGATGCCTGACCTAAAGACAAATGGCTAGATTCACGATGAGACTTCAAAAGTTAAATGTATTGTAAAAGCTGCTTAAAGCATTCAACCTTTAAATGCACTGAATCCAACACCACCATCTTTATGCATTTATGGTAATGACGAGCTTAATTACGCTAATTTATTCTAAGTGTCTACGTAACAAGTCTTACCAAATGTTCTTTTTTCTGTTGATTGGAATAATAATGCTAATGAAAACAATGATTATAAACTTTATACTCGAGTGTTTGTTTATTGCTTGCCCTACATTTTCAAAAACTTAGTTTATCATTTTTAGACAAGCAAACTGATTTTACAGTGTTTACAAACAGAGACATTCAGAAAAAAATGGGAGTTTTGAGTAAGTTAGCAAGAAATAAGTCAGGAAGAGATAAATTAATATTATAATATAAAATAAAATATTCCTACAGATCAGCTATCCCAAACACATAAGGTCAGTAAATGACAGACTGCTGAAAAAAAAAATCCCAGAAATGCACAAAACCAATAAAAAGACAAGAGATTCTTTATATTGCATCACATAAAAGATCTGATATCCATTTAGATTTAGCCGTTGGGGCTCAGAGCTCGAAAAAGTGCAAGGGAATGATGGATTTCTTCCAAAAAGAAAGCAGATGGAGGGAATTGGGATATCTGGAATTCCAATAAAGTTGTGTGCTAATAAAAGAAATTTGCAATCTAGCACAGCAACTTCTGTAGAGTCCATTAGACCGGCAATATTAATAAAAGACCTAAACAAGCTGTTATTGTGTCTTAGATTTGCATACAATAGAAATACGAGTCACTTTTCCATGAGGAATATGGCCTTTACCTGATTGGCTCTTTCCAAATCTGTCATCACCACTTCAATCTCATTGGCCCTGAAAAATAAAGGCGCACATTACTTACACAGGCAGGAGGGAAACGGTAGCCCAGGTTTGTTGCAGTGAAACACAATGATGCAACATAACGCAATGCAATAAAATGGGTCACGTAAGGAACAGACCAGGTGGAACAGAAGACCTCACATCAACATAAAATGGGTAATCAGCATCTTGCCTCACTTCTGGGCCGCTTGCATGTGTGCATATGCAATTACGAGCAGCTAGATGCATTCTGAGAGCATTCATCATGAAAGCATCTGGGTATGTGTGTGTTGTTGTGTAGAGATCAGCCGTTTCAGTTGGACTTCCATAACCCTTGTCATGCATGTGAACACTTGCACACTCACCCGTATGCACACTGGCAAACACACATACACACTACCGCACGCACGCAGGGCCATTAAGCCCTCTCGATTTCACAGTAATCCGATGGACTGTGAGCTGTGTAGCCCAGCAGTGGGTTCACGGCTCAGCCACATGGACAAGCCCAGGTTAAAACAGAGGGATTACACTAATATAGGCCTCAGACTCCTTTTAATGCACACTAATCTGATATAATATTCTCAATTCTGCTAGCGCGCAGCTCAGCTCATCAAATGGCATGGCTTAGGTGTGTAAACACAACTGCTTTCAATAAAGGTTAACAGTACTGTATGTCCCCATTAAACATTCAACTCAAATGAGTGGAGTTTGGTCACTCAAATACAGCTTTCAAACATTCTGTCAGGAAAAAAAATACAAAAAGTCATGCTAACTATTTGGGTTAAATTAACTTTTATTATTAAAATTAGGAAACAAGTTTATGAAAACATCATGATCCAAATCCAATTTCAAGGCTGAGGAATTAAAGGGACAGTTTACTCAAAAATTACAATTCGATCATCATTTACTCACCCTCAAGCTGTTCCAAGCATGCATGAACTTCTTTCTTCTGTGGAACATAAAAGAAGGTATTTTGAAGAATGTGAGTAACCAAACAGATTATGATCCCTACGGACTTCCATAACATTTTTATCCATTCTATAGAAGTCATCAATTGTTTGGTTACCAACATTCTTCAAAATACCTTTTATGTTCCACAAAAGAAAGAAACTCATCCATTTTTAGAACAGCTTGAGGGTGAGTAAATGGCAACAGGATTTTCATTTCTGGGTGGACTATCCCTTTAAGGTTTAGCTGGTTAGCATGGTCCAGCTAGCTGCTAGCCATAATGGTCACACTTTATTTTAAGGTCCAATTCCCGCAATTCCCTGTGACATTTGCCTCAATAAACACCTAATTTACTGTTTTTTAATAGTTAGTAAGGTAGTTGCTAAATTTAGGTATTGGGTAGGATTAGGGATGTAGAATATGGTCATGCATAATATGTGCTTTATAAGTACTAATAAACAGCCAATATGTTAATAATGGGCATGCTAATAAGCTACTAGTTAATAGTGAGAATTGGTCCTTTCCTTATACTTGTGTTACCGCCATCATTATATCAAAAAGTATCTTTTTCAGTTGACAAACATTTGCTGCTATTCTGACTAATAACCTTTTGCATATGACATAGTTTAAAGTGTTTAATTTTCTTTTATTAGATGTTTTGCCTCGACATACTTAGCATGTGGTTAAGTATACTAACGGCCAGGCTACACAACTGTTTTTGTTTTGATTTTGGCACATCTTAAACAAACTCAATGTGTTCTCATAAGACAATGTGTTGTTTCTGGTGTGCTAACAACAAATGTTTCTGTACTACTCTACTAGCATTTTTTAAACCACAATCTTAACCAAATTCAAAGCATTCCCACAATAATGTGTAGCATGTGTGCTAACTGCTAGGCTAGTACTTTGTACTGTAGCCATTTTTGTTTGATTCTGAACCACAATCTCCACAAACTCAAATAGCTCACACATGATAATGTGTTGTAGCCTGTATTCTAACCGCTAGGCTACAAATTCAACTAATCTATATTTTTTATTTTTTTTTGCTTGATTTTGTAAAACAGTCTTTACTAAACTCAGAACATTCACACATAATGTGTTACAGCATGTGTACTGCTAGGTTACTACCCACTACAGTAGCTGTTTCTGTACCACTGCCTTTAACAAACTCATGTGTGTTCACACTTGAAGCAGCAAATCTAATGCTTGTAGCTGGATCTGACACGACAAAAATTAAACCAACACATAATCTTTAAGCAAGTGAAACTTGTTAGCCCACATACTGAGCCCTTAATCTGATAAAAGCACTTGCATTATTGCTGTCACCCACTGTATTCTCCTCTCGAACGGTTCTCCCATTGACATTTCTGACCATGTGACTGCAAACTGAGAGGAGTCAAGCACAGCTGAAATTAATTCAACAGCCAAGCTTAATTAGAGGCGATTTGGTTTAATGATTCAGATGAGCTTAACTCATCTTTGTGCGCACTTTTAAGTGCGTGACTGTGTCATCTCATGGATGATGCAGCGTTGGAGTTTCATTGTGGCTAAAAAAAAAGTGAAGAGCGCTGTGAAAATACTATGTTTCAAATTATTATTGAAACCCAATTATTCACTCCAATTACATGATGGCTCTCTAACATCAAAGTGAAAACCCATTTGCAACCCATTTTACTTTTTTAATGTGACATTTCAAAGTGAAACAGGATATTCAACAAGAAAAAAGTAGAACGGGACTTTTTTTTTACCTACTGGGAATCAATAGGATTGTGAAAAATGGGCATTACACACCAGAACGGCACTAAAAACAATGTCTAAACAGCTATTAAAATAGCCCGCAATTTTTAAAATGTGATATTATGTGCACCAGATACCCACTGGGAATTAATAGGATTGTGAAAAATGGGCATTACACACCAGAACGGCACTAAAAACAATGTCTAAACAGCTATTAAAATAGCCCGCAATTTTTAAAATGTGATATTATGTGCACCAGATTAATTGCTCATAATAAGAACCAGCATATTTAAGGAAGCTAAATATAGCCAATTGCAATTTCACTTCAACTTTAAAAACGAAAATGTTCAATAATGTAGATATTTATTATTTAACATATATTTAGCTAGCTTCTTTCCTTCTGAGCTTTACCAAACCCAAATAGTTAAATATAAATCATTAAATAACGTAAGATCATCACAGATTTGGGAATTATGGGATATAATACTCCTTTAAACCTAAAGACTGCAGATCAGAGGTTTATTTTATGCATTAACAGTGTCATGATCTCGTCATGGCACAGAATACAAAAATACAATCCCTCTTAAATACAGCGTAAAGAGGCACTCTCTCGCAAACACACACACAATTGTGAACCTGCATAACCTAATCTCCTCTCGTTTCTGCTCTCGTCAGCTCATGTTCACTCTCTCCTTTATGGACCCCACTGTAAAAACACATTAAATGATGACCTTAAAGGGGCTATATTCGACACTTTCATAGTATTTTATTTCTTTCCTTGAATTCACTTACGTAAGGTTTCTTGCACTGAAAACAATCATAATTTAGTGTTACTCTTTGACCCTTACATATAAACAGCCTGTTTTTGCTACTGTATCTTCAAGAATTCTTTATGCAAATGAGCTCTGCTGTGATTGGCTGACCTCTCGTGAACTGTTGGTAGCAATTTTTGTAACATTTTTACAGATGCTTCAAGTGGGAGGTTTGCGTGTTAGAGTGCATCAACGTTCTACATTGAAATTTATTTTCAAAAGACCAAAAAATAAAACCCGTTTTCCATGATATGTCCCCTTTAAAGATGAAAAGATAAGGACGAGAACTGCGTGAGACATGCGTAACTCCCATTGGAGCTCAACCTTCAAATCCAGCATGTTCTTCATCACCTCGAACCGGGAGGCCAGAGGTTATCTGCGAGATCATTTATTCAGATTATTTCATCATCTACATATGAACACGCTACAATGTGGGAAAGTCCAAAGAAATAACAGTGTGGAACACATAAACACAACTTCTTTTGTTATTCTATGAGCTACAGCTGATGAATAGAGCGTATTAAACACTTACTGCATTTGATTATTGTATTTGGTCGTCTCTGGCCTAATAAATTATGAGAACCAGCTGCTTTGATTTTGACCTTTTCCATCCAGCACTGCTGTCAGAAACAGGGGAGGTTAACTCGGCGCTCGGGCGAAGCTAGCGAGAGAGAGGTCCAGGTTACATGCATCCTCTGGCTGTAATTCAACTCTTTCAGGCGATTCTCTCTCTCCCGTCTTGCTCAAACTCACTCACGCTCGCTCTCTCTCCAGTGTCTTTGTTTCTGCTGCGGCTCAAATCCCCCTGGGTTGGTACGACATTTCACAGATTTAGCCCTTTAGATTTCCATTTTGCTCTCTTTCTCCATTTGGCCCCTATCTTATGGAGCCAGTGTAGGCTTTATCCTGGTGGGTTTTTTTGTCCTCCCATCCTCTCTTAACCTTTTGAAGGCTGGGGTGGTAAGAAAACAAAAATTTGATTTTTCTCTCCTCTTGTTGAGTGTCCTGACCTCCAGGAGATAAAAAAAAAAATCTCACTCTTAAGTGCCATTCCTGACTAACTCTCAAAACAACAAACATCATCGACCCAAATTTTTCTCGACAGCAATCACACAGGTGTATAATCATCTCCTAAGGAGTTTTCAAGAGTTTTGTTCAGGAGTAAATTAAATACTAAAGATGTTGATTTACCTGTTATTTCATTATAATGAGATACTCAACCGAACCAATAATAGTTTTTCCTTCAATTTCTGAAGGAAACACTAAGCCTAAATGGTCGCTAGGGTGTTGCTAGGGATTTCCAAATGGTTTCTTACAAGCCCAGAGTTAAAATATCCCAAATCTCTATAATATCCGGATTCACAGATATTGGTCGGCTACCTTCTTCTATGGGATTTTTCCCCCGCCCATTTAATCGCCAAAAAGATCGTACAAGTTGCATGATTAGAGGTATCACAGCACCAATATTACAGGTCAAAATACATACCGATGTTTAATACTTAAGGTTTGTGGTTTAGA